GGAGGTGGGGGGGGGGGGGGGGGGTTAAGAGAAAGGCGTCACGTGACCTATGACGTGCGTAACGAAGATTAGAAATAATACAGGTTTGGTAAATGAGCTAATGAGTATGCGAACAACAATTTCAAGTTAATGACATATTCTTCTCCGCCGATGATCCGTCTTCGGATAGAGCTGATGTACTGTTATGATGGAAACAGAAAAAGTCCCCGGGACCCTAGACCTTGACTACATCCTCCACATTGATCGTGCAGACTGAGACAGTACGCAATGACTTTCGTAGGCAAAGATTCCGTTGTTTAGAAGAATTTCTGGAGGCTAGTAGCTGCAGTTTTGCATATTTGGGTTGTAGGTTATTAAAATGGTAAGATAAAATGAATAAGACATGAAACAAAGAAATCATGAATGAAAACACAAATAAACTAGAGAGAAGGACACGTTTATTTAAAGAATATCGAAAACCAATTTACAGAACTCACATGCTTCGAGCGAAAAAGGATTTATAATTTCTTATTGCTAAGTCGTAATCTCTGGAACTGGCTTCGTTCTTTACTTAAAAGGTGTCCAAACATTAGGTGTGACTTTGTTTCATTTGATATTATTCTTAGATATGATGTACAACATTTCAGTAAAAAAACAGGTAGTGTATATTCTATGATTCAAATTTACAGACAGTACATATGAAATCCGTTGAAGAAAATACGTATTAATGTATGGGGTTTATTATGGAAAGTTTTTGTTCTGTTCTACACAAATTATACTCAAATGAACAAGTTTAATATGTGAAATAAATTATGTTGATAAGAATACTTCGAAACCCAGTGGACGAAATTAGGTCAGGAGAAAAACCGAGAAAACATTCTCCCAGAGATTTCGACCTCTCTCTCTCTCTCAGAGGTGGACTTAATTGGGACATGGAAACTTGAGACAGCGCTTCAAAGAAGCAAATATAAGAAAAGTCTAGGAACAGACAAAAATTAACATAGAGATGATAAAATATGATTTTATAGAAGTTCAGTCAAGATTCCTTACTTTGCTAATTAACTGCTCGCAGAAATTTGGAAAGAAACCGAAATCATTCCAATTTTTGAAATTTGAGAGAGAACAAAATGAGAAAATTCTAGTAGAATAAGCCTTCTGAAAGAAGGTTACAAAACATATGCATATATTCTTACGTCTAGATTACAAAGAATAGCCGAAGGTATATAAAATCATGCATACAAACAAAACTGTTTACACATTAAATATTATTTCTTACGCAATTTTGAAGTTCACAATCCAGTCACAGACAACGTAACCACAACTCACCTTAGACCAACAACGGAAACCTCAATTAAAAATTGGGCCAGTGGACATTAAGCTAAGTGACTCAATTTAGATAATACACCAACTCATGTGTAATTAAAATTTCAGTGTGGTATTACATGAAATATATTTTTATAAAGCGCGATATTTTACAATGCTTTATAACAAACCATCGTTTCATTAATTATAAGATTTTAATAGACAAACGAATGAATTAATGATTATGCCACTCTTGAGGTCGAAACTCGTTTGGTACTAACTATTTTTCAAAACATTCACTCCAATACGTAAAAATGAATCTGGAAGTGAACATCACCAAGAAAGTTGCATATCAAAAATTGTAATTAGATTTTAAGTTTATAATTTTAACTTTTACACCTGAAGATGGTTTATATAGAAACCGAAACATGTTGTAAAAAAGATGTTCCAAATGTAAATCGATTGTTCGATGAGGAACATCAAATGATATTTTAATTATCTTAATTGTAAATTTTAAATTTGAATTGTGATTAGACGGACCAAAACCGAATAATTAATTAATATTTTTCAAAGTGTAAACACTTTTGTTTGTATGCGTGATTTTACATATTTTAGATAAATATTCAACACTATAAGATTTTAAGAATAACTGAAGAAATTATTTTGGAATAATAATCAGGATTTAAAAGAGGACAATGTCTTCATCATAAAACAACTTATCCAAAACCATGGAAAAGTCGACCTTGAATTACACCTCTTATTTATTGCTGTCGACGGAGTAGACCGACGGAAACTATACAACATTTACTTAAATATAGAATGTTCGAAAAGTATATTGAGTACTCCGCACGATCGCCAGAATCTCTTTATTTCCATTTCTTAAACTTTTACGCTCCAGTAAGTCTTCAAAGCTCAATGTTTCATGCTAATCGAAATGCAGCGTGTACGTTCAGTTATAAAATATCTCTAAATGCAGATCTGAGTTCAGAATCCACATTACACACGACAAATAAAAAGAATTTCGAAAAGTTAAATTTCCGTTCAAAGATGACCTGGCTTCATTCTTTACTTAAACGGTGTCCAAACGTTAATTGGGACTTTGGTGTTATTCTTAGATATGATGCACAAGATTTCAGTGAACGAACAGTTAGTATATATTCCGAGACTCACATTTACAAACGGTACATATGAAATCCGTTGAAGAAAATACATGTTAATATATGATGAGATAATATTGTTGCGTCATATTGTGATGGTTATTTAATTGTTTATTTTAACCGTCTAATCACAATAAAATATTTAATTAATTATTAAAATATTAAAATATTCCAACACAACATTACTTCTAGACGGAACTCATCCACTCTTCATATCTAACCGATTATAAAAAACCCACTACAAACATTTCACCCACGCAAGATCACGCTATACGCGACATACATTTACGAAACAACATTGAATGTGATAACAAAGTACAATTGATCTAGAAGAGGATAACTGATATTTAATGGACATCTGACGAAGGATTGCATTTAGAATATTACATTTGAATTTATATCGA